GGCTCAAACCCACAAACCTGAGCCCAAGTCAGACGCCCAACAGAGTGAGCCGCCCAGGCGCCCCACAGAATATAGCTTTAAAGAGTATTCTTTATGTATATAGTTGCACAACCATTACACACTTTAGCTTTAGAACATTTTTTTTAAACATTTATTTATTTTTAAGAGACAGAGCATGATCAGGGGAGGGACAGAGAGAGGGAGACACAGAATCTAAAGCAGGCTTCAGGCTCTGAGCTGTCAGCACAGAGCCAAACCTGGGGCTCGAATTCACAAGCTGCTAGACTATATGACCTGAGCCAAAGTCGGATGCTTAACCGACTGAGCCACCCAGGCACCCCAGCTTTAGAACATTTCTATCACTCTTGAAAGAAACTAGACTCATTTATAGTCACTCCTTATTGCCACCTCTATCCCAGGCAACCACTGGTCTATTTCCCATCTCTATAAATTTGCCTTTTCTGGACATTCCATATAAATAGAATCATATAGTATGTAGACTTTTGTGTCTGACTTCTTTCGTTTAATGTTTTTGAAAATCATCTGTTTCATAGTATATATGTATGTATGGCCAAATAATTTTCCATTTTATGTATCAAGCACATTTTATTTATTGGTTCACCAGTTGATGTTCATTAGAGTTGTTCCCATCTTTTTTGGCTGTTGTGAATAATGCTGCTATTATTGAATAATGTTGTGAATAATGCTGCCCAAGTTTTTGTGGAACATACATTTTTATTTTTACTGGTGGATACCTAGGAGTAGATTTGCTGTATCTTATGGTAAGTCTATGTTTAATTTTTGAAGAAATTGCTAAAGTATTTTCTTAAGTTTATTTATTTATTTAGAGAGAGACCACACATGCACCTAGGGGAGGGACAGAGAGAGAGAGGGAGAGAGAGAATCCCAACAGCTCTGTTAGCACAGATCCTGACACGGGGCTCATTCTCACTACTGTGAGATCATGACCTGAGCCAAAATCAAGAGTTGGTCACTTAACCAACTGAGCCACTCAGATACCCCTAAACTGCCAAACTATTAAAGTGGTTGTATCATTTTACATTCCCTGCCAGCAGTATATGAGTGTTCCAATTTCTCTACTTCATTGCCAAATTAATTTTTCTGTCTTTTTAATTATAGCCATCCTAGTGGATATGAAGGGGTGTATATCAGCATAATTTTGGTTTACATTTGCATTTCTTTAATGGTGGACGATGTTGAGCATTATTTTATGTGCTTATTGACCATTTGTGTATCTTTGGAGAAATACCTATACAAATTCTAAACGATTTTTTAAAAATTAGGTTACTTAAAATTTTTTTTTTTTTTCAAGTAGTTTATTGTCAGATTAGTTTCCACATAACACTCAGTGCTCATCCCCACAAGTGTCCTCCTCCATGCCCATCCCCTCCTCCCCCCCATATCCATCAGTCCTCAGTTTTTGTCAGCATTCAAGAGTCTCTCATGGTTTGCCTCTCTCCCTTTCCCCCACCATTTCCCCCCTTCTTCTCCCCCTTGTTCCTCTTTTAAGTTCCTCCTAATCCTCCTATACGTGCAAACATATGATATTTGTCCTTCTCTGCCTGACTTATTTTGCTCAGCATAACACCCTCAAGGCCAGATTTCATTGTTTCTCATTGCCATGTAGTATTCCATGGTATAGATAAACCACATCTTCTTGATCCATTCATCTGTTGATGGACACTTAGGCTCTTTCCATGTTTTAGCTATTGTGGAGAGTGCTGCTATGAACTTAAAATTTTTGAGTTGTAGAAGTTCTTCATGTATTCTTTTTAAAAAATATTTATTCATGGAGTGGCTAGGTGTCTCAGTCAGTTGAGTGTCTGATTTTGGCTCACTTATCATGATCTCACAGTTCGTGGGTTCGAGTACCACATCAGGCTCTGTGCTGACAGCTGGAAGCCTGGAGCCTGCTTCAGATTCTGTTTCCCTCTCTCTCTGCTTCTCCCCCATTCATGCTCCCATGCTCTCTTGCACACTCTCTCTCTCAAAAATGAAATAAACATTAAAAAAATAATAAAATATTTGGGGCGCCTGGGTGGCTTAGTCGGTTAAGCGTCTGACTTTCGCTTAGGTCATGATCTCGCGGTTCGTGGGTTCGAGCCCCGCGTCGGGCTCTGTGCTGACTGTCAGCTCAGAGCCTGGAGCCTGTTTCGGTCTGTGACTCCCTCTCTCTCTGACCCTCCCCTGCTCACGCTGTCTCTCTCTCTCTCTCCTAGAAATAAATAAAACATTAAAAAAAAAATAATAAAATACTTAAGAGAGAGAGCACTCATGCACACATGCATGCAGAGGGGTGGGCAGAGAGAGGAAGAGAGAATCCTAAGCAGGCTCTGCACTGGCAGTGTGGGGCCCGACACAGGGCTTGAGCTCACCAACTGTGAGATCGTGGTCTGAGCCGAAATCCAGTCACTTAACAGACTGAGCCACCTAGGCGCCCCTCATAGATTCTTATTCTGTGGGTTTTCTTTCACTTTTTAAAAAATTTTTTTAATGTTTTATTTATTTCTGAGAGAGAGAGACAGTGTGAGCTGGGGAGGGTTATAGAGAGAGGGAGATACAGAATCTGAAGCCGTCTCCAGGCTCTGAGCTAGCTATCAGCACAGAGCCCGATGTGGAGCTCGAACCCACGAACTGTGAGATCATGACCTGAGCCAAAGTTAGATGCTTAACTGCCTGAGCCACGCAGGCGCCCCAGTAGTCTTTTCATTTCCTTGATAGTGCCTTTTAAACTGCAAAAGCTTTAAATTTTGAAAAAGTCCAATTTGTTAATTTTTTTCCTTTAATTGTGCTTTTGATGTCTTAAGAAATCATTTCCTACCCCAAGATTATGAAGATTCACTCCATCCGAGTTGTCTTTTAAGAGTTTTATAGTTCTAGCTCTTACATTGAGGCCTGTGATCAATTTTCAGTTAACTTTTTAGTATGGTGTGAAGTAGGAGTCCAAAGTAATTTTTTTGCATGTGGATATCCAAATGTCCCAGTACCATTTATTGGAAGACTATCTCTTTCCTATTTTCTTGGCATCTTTGTAAAGAATTAGTTGGCCATTAATGTAAGGGTTTATTTCCGGGCTCTGAATTCTATTTTGATTTATATATCTGTCCTTATCCCAGTACCACATTGTCTTGGTTGCTGTTGCTTTGTAGTACATTTTGTTTTATGTTTGCTTATTTTTGAGGAGGAGAGAGGAGGCCGGAGAGGGGGAGGAGGGAGGGAGGGAGAGAGAGACAGACAGACAGGGTGTGAGTGGGGGAGGGGCAGAGAGAAAGGAAGACACAGAATCTGAAACTGGTTCCAGTCTCTGAGCTATCAGCACAGAGCCTGACGTAAAGCTCGAACCTGTGAGCTCTGAGGCCATGATCTGAGCCAAAGTTGGACGCTCAAACTGGCTGAGCCACCCACGTGCCCCTGTAGTACATTTTAAAATCAGGAAATGTCAGTTCTCCAACTTTGTTATCCTTTTTCAAGATTGTTTTGGCTACTTGGGTCCCTTGCATTTCTGTATGAATTTAGGATCAGCTTGTTAATTTCTGCAAGAAGGAACCTGGGATTTTGATAGGATTGAGTTGAATATGTAGACCAGTTTGGTTAGTATAACTGTCTTAAGCAATATTAAGTTGTTACATCCATGAACATGGAATGTCTTTTGATTTAATTAGGGTTTTTTTTGTTTGTTTGTTTGTTTGTTTTAAAATAACCTCCGCACCCAGCGTGGAGCGCAACATAGGGCTTGAACTCAGGACCCTGAGATCAAGAGTTGGACGCCTAACTGAGCCACCCAGGCACCCTTCTTTAATTTTTTTATTCAATGTTTTATAGTTAATCAGCTGTACAAGTCTTATACTTCTTTTGATAAATTTTTTCTAATTGATGTTGTTTTATTCTTACCCTGTTCTGAACAGAGTTATCTTAATTTCATTTTTGAATTGTTCATTGTTAGTGTATAGAAGTATACACTACTTAGTGTATACATTGTTGGCGTATATTTGTACCCCTTTATACTGTGTTTGGAATGAATGTTGGGCCAACATGACTCCTGACAATTTGAGGGTGGTGCTTAATTATTTTGCTTTGATCAGCCACATCATACATTACAGTATTGTGGACTGGTTGTGGTTACCTTAGGCTTATTTAGGTTGTAGTTACATAAGGTTTATAACATTGTGTTACTCTGTGTTTCAGAACCATATCATAGTAGCACTTTGTGTAAAATCGTTTGATCTAGTAACTCAGAATGTGGTGCCTTTAGCTTTATAATACAAAAATTTATTTTTTTAATAAATGATTTTTTAGAGTTTATTTTGAGAGCGAGAGCGAGCAAGCGCGAACTTGTGTGTGTGAGAGAGAGCAGAAGCAGTGGAGGGGCAGAAAGAGGGAGAGAGAATCCCAAGCAGGCTCCGCACTGTCAGCATGGAGCCTGATATGGGACTTGAACTCAAGAACTATAAGCAAATGAGCCATCCAAGCTCCCCTGAATAAATGTAACTAAAAAATTTTTTTTAATGTTTGTTTATTTTTGAGAGAGAGAGAGAGACAGAGCATGAGCTGGGGAGGGGCAGAGAGAGAAGGAGACACAGAATCTGAAGCAGGTTTCAGGTTCCGACCTGTCAGCACAGAGCCTAACGCAGGGCTCGAACTTACAGACTGTGAGATCATGACCTGAGCTGAAGTCGGATGCCCAACCTACTGAGCCACCTAGGTGCCCCAATAAATGTAATTTTTAAAGGAGCTAACACCTGGTTTTATTTGTAGACCATTTGTAAGTAGCATCTGTAGCTTGTCATAGAAAATTAAAAGTAAAATCCCCATATTACTGTGTACCTTATTTTCATCACATTTGCCTGTTATTAAAGTACAGAGAATTTTTAAGCTGGCTTAATTTATTCATTTGCCTATAGTAGTAGAGTGAAGCGTTAAGTATTTTGATTTTATGTTTATGAGATTATTTATTTTTAAAACTTTAACATGTTTTTCAGGGTCAGTTAAATGAAAGCATGGACCATGGAGGAGTTGGACCATATGAACTGTAAGTTTATGTAAAAAGATTTTATTGTGCTCTCTTTCTTACAAGTAGATTGTATCAGTTCTGGTTTATAACCATCATGTGATTGAAATAACCTGTTCTTAATTATCTAGTCGTATATGTGTGTGTGTGTGTGTGTATAAATATACATACGCACTTGGTTTATTGAATTTAGCACCAATATAGTAACATATCTAGGGTTTTGAGATCATATATAGATTTTGAGGAAAAGATATTCATTCTGACTTAAAGTATATGGAATATGAATCTTAGTGGGTTAGGAATTATTGTTTAATTTTTTTTCCTAACTAAAATGTCAAATTTTTAGAAATGCCTTCCAAAGTCAAATGCTCTTATTTTGCCTGTAATACATCATTTATAAAGTGATTTGTATAATCTCAAAAGTCATTTTAGTCAAGCTCTTTTCGGTGACTATGGTGATTAATCTGCTCTGTACCCACCCTTAGGTAAAAACCATAGATTGGAAGGGAGACTGAGATCACTCATATAAAAAGCATTTAGGTGACAAAATAAATGCCAGTGTTGGAGTCTTTAAGTCAAGCTAATAGTAGATATGGAAAGATGAATGGATACATTTTATTAGCAAGAATTTTTTTGTAGCAGAGACTTGAGCTAATTGGGTATTTTTAGAAAGTTCTCAGATTTTCTGAAGTTGCCAAATGAAGTTGGATAATACCTAATTTCATAGACATTTTGAATGAACTAAATAAGAATAAGCAGAAGACTTTTTTCCTTTGTCAATGTAATAAACTTGTTCTAATTTATCTTAGTTTGGGGATGCTTGATGCTTACAAAAATAAATAATAGTACATTCTGTAAACCAACAGATACACAGTTATCAAGCCATCCTAATCTTGACCTACTATGTCACTGAATCGTTAGTTTACGGAGCACTGGTAGTAAATTTGCTGTTACATACCTTCTCCTTTTTACTTATTTGGATTATAGATACAGTATATTAAAGGTAGTTTAACTTGTTGAGAATTTACTTTTGGTTTTGCTTTTCTTCCCAGTGGCATGGAACATTGTGAGAAATTTGAAATTTCGGAAACTAGTGTGAACAGAGGGCCAGAAAAAATCAGACCAGAATGTTTTGAGCTACTTCGGGTACTTGGTAAAGGGGGCTATGGAAAGGTAGGAAGAATTTCTGAAATGAGAGCTGTTGTCTGTCTTGGGTAGATTAATTGTTAAGGCCTGGTTCAGTAGTCTTCTTCAATCTTTGTTTGCTAGCTGTCAGCAGAGGATATGATCACTTCACGTGCTATTATTTGAGGGATGTAAAGAAGTTCTCTTCCTACCGCCATACACATAAAAGACTGACACTTAATAGGCATTCAGTCGATATTTGTTGCATAAATAAATAGGCAACTATGCCAGGCAAAGTCTATTATTAGAGGATTGCTTCCTTCCTTTGGTTAAATGGTATCCCCTAGAAGTATCCTCTTAACAACCACTCCTTTCAAGAAGCATGGCACATTAAATTGTTACTGAGACCTAAATCTGAATGAGTATTCTTTGACTTGCTGTATTTGGAGCAATAGTTAGGGAAGCTGAAGAATATAAGAAGGGAGAAGAAAAATGAGAACTTCTTAGTTTCATAGTTCTGCTCAAGGCTTTCTAATTTATGAACTTTGTTCTGCTTAAGAAAATTTATACCTAGCTATTCTTTGTCAAAAAATTGAATTTTGATACATTTTATTAGTTAGGATTCAGTTTAAGGACTATTTATGCTGTTGTGTAGTGTTAACTTTTTCATAGCAAGACATTTGTAGTTTATTTTTAGGCTTAAGGACATATTCTAATGTGTTCTAATTATCTTGAATGTGCAACACATGCACTTAGAATCTCACATTATTTTAGCTGTTGCATGATAATGTTTTATAGAGTTAGCCATTTTAAGGAATAGGTAAATGGTAATTCCTATCAACTGTTATTAAAGTTTTGTGTGAAGCAAGGACAGAGGCATTCCTGGAAGAAATTTATATATTTTATAATTTTTAAGTTTGGTGTTCTGCTTCTGCAAACTTGGATTTTATGTATGAAGGTATATAGAGTGCTCATCATTGGATGGTCACCGACTTTGCACCAGATGTGAGCAGACCAAACAGGACGGCCTCATGTTGTATAGCAGGTTTCACTACTAAATCTTTAATATAATCTTTTAGTTCATCATTTTTGCACACTTTATGCTACTAATTTCTGTAAGAATATAAACTATTGTATCATTTGCTTCCTATAAATAGGAATTAAGGGAGTGTGGCTAGCATATTTAGCTTTTAATAACACACAAACACTTGTATTTTTTATTCAGGTTTTTCAAGTACGAAAAGTTACAGGAGCAAATACTGGGAAAATATTTGCCATGAAGGTGCTTAAAAAGGTGATTCCTTCTTTCCTCCTCTCTCCCCTACCCCTTTTTGTTCTCTCTCTCTCTTTTTTTTTTTTTAAAGTATGCTCCACAGCTAATGTGGGTGTTGAACTCATGACCCTGAGATCATGAGCTGTATGCTCCATCAACTGAGCCAGCCAGGAGTTCCCCCCTTCCCCCACCAACTTTATTCTTAATTGCTATAAAACCCACATTTTGGCCTAAAATTCTTAGTCAAGAAAATGTATTTCTAACACAGTAAGTCCTCTTAGAATATGATATGTTTCATTATTGTCATTCCTGTTTTATTTCTGCTTGGTGAAGGTGGAAAGGAGAGTTCTTTTAATTTTCCTCTGAGGTAACTCTTTTTGGCTCTGTGTTCTGGTCTCCATATTTCTAAGTAATAAGCATATCCTGCTATCACTTAATTCAGCAGTTTAAGAATTATGTTTTGACTTCCACTCTAACTTCTTCTTTCTCCCCATCCTCTTACTTTGCTTCATTTTCTTTGAGACTATTGTCTTCTCAAACCTTCCAACAACTCTGTTCAAGCCAGCGTTCTGTTAGGTAGTCTGTCAGTTTCATTTATTTTCCTGTAGATAACCCATCGGAACCTTCCGTTCCCTGTTCTGCCTGTATCGGTAGCTTTCTAGGCATAGCTGTTGTTACTGTACTTTGACCAAACTTTTGGAATCTGCTTGGCTCTGTCAGTGTTGGATTCTTTATTTCCTTCATCACATATCTTCCTTTTTCTTCATTTTTGCCTTTGTTCCCTCCTTTGGTGACCATCTACTTGTGGTTCCCTGAGAAAGGGTATAGGAAGGTAAAATTTTTGGGAAATAATTGCATATTTGAAAATTTCCCTTATACCCTTATAGTTTGATTGGGTGTGGTTTTGAAGTTGAAAATCATTTTCATCCAGGATTTTGCTTAATTTCCATCTAGCCTTGAGTGTTTCTATTGAGGATTCCCTTGCCATACTGATTCCCATGTTTCCTTAGAGGTCTGTTTTTCTTTAAAGATATCTAAGATTTTCTTTTGATTTCTGTCCTAAAGTTTTTTCAGTGATGTATTATCTTGTTTTTGATCCTTATTATTTTATTTATTTTTACTCTTTCAATCTTAAAAATTTGAATCCTTCAGCCCTAGGAGATTTTCTTGTATGGTCTCTGCTATTTTCCCCCTCTCCTATTTTCTTGGAATTATACTTAGATGTTGGACCTCCTGAACGAGTCATTTATTTTTCTTACCTTTTCCATTTGTCCATTTCTTTATCTTTTTGTTTGCTTTCTGAGATTTTTCTAGAAATTTATTTTCTAATCCTTTTACTGATTTTTATTATCATGTTTGTGGTTACCCAGAGCTCTGTTCTTTTTATAGCATCCTTTTTTTGTGAGTAGAATATCTTTTCTTATTCCTCTGAAGGTATTAATGATAATTCTTTCAAATGTTCTTTTGTTCTGTGCATTGTATCTCTTTTCTAAGTTTCTTTTTTCTTTGAGTTTGATTTAGTCTTTTCTATATCAAAGGCCTTCTTTAGATGTCTGGTGTTGTTCGCTGATTATTTATATTTAAGAATGGAACTCCGAAAAGCTGATCAGAAGTTCCATCTGTGTATAGGACAGTCATGTAGTTGTCTGGCAACTGACTGAAAACCTCTAAATATTTGTCTGTAGGTCAGTTGGTACTGAGAAAGAGCCTCTATTCTTTTGCCTAGAAAAAGTACCCTGGAACTGGATGAGAGAGAAGAGATGGAGAGCTTACCTTTCCAGCATGCAGACTTTCACTGAAGTCAAGTTTTTACTTTAGCACTTCATTATGATCCTTCACTCTTTCTGGAGAGTATACCTTTCCAAATGGTAGCAATCTACCTGTTTTTAGTCCTCCACCTTCTGTAGTCTCTAATGACTCATATTTTTTTTCTTCTTGCTTTTTATTTTTGTCTCTAATTTTGAACCTGTTAGGGTTCTGTAGATGAAATCAACTTCTTTTGAGTTAACTTCTTTGTGCAGACATTTAGACTTGATAATACCCTACTCTACTAAGTCATGTACCATTGCTTTATTTTGCTCTATTTTCACCTTTTGAGGTGTGGAGTTAGATGCATTTTCTAGTTTTATTGAAAAAGGATTATGTGTGTTTGGTTTCTTGTTCTTTTTGTTTGGGACTGATTTCTGAAAAGATCACACTGTCTTAAAACAAGTCTTAGTGGAAAACTATTAAAAGATAATCAAAGGGACTTTTAACAAAAATTATAGGGTTTGTAATACTTTGGTCTTTATCTTCTAACTGATTTTTACATAAGCAGTATGCATGACTTACTACGTTTAAAGGTGAGGAACAAATGTTATGACCACAACTTCATTGGTGATTGTCCTTTTTTTTTTTTTTTTTTTAATGTTTGTTTAAATAATCTCTACATAACTTGGGGCTTGCATTCATGATCCCAAGATCAAGCGTCCCATACTCTTCCAACTGAGCCCGCCAGGCGCTTCTGGTGATTCTTTTTTTTTTTTTTTAATGTTTATTTATATTTGAGAGATAGAGGCAGAGAGAGAGCGATTGAGACATCTGGGAGGGGCAGAGAGAGATGGAGATGGAATCTGAAGCAGGCTCCAGGCTCTGAACTGTCAGCACAGAGCCTAACACAGGGCTCAAACTCAAGTGCAGTGAGCTCATTACCTGAGCTGACATCTGACACTTAACTGACTGAGCCACCCAGGTGCCCTGCCCCGGTGATTGTCTTAAAGAACCAGTTAAGATATTCTTTTTTTTTTTTTTTTTTAATGTTTTATTTATTTTAAGAGAGAGGGTGCATCCCTGCGTGTGAGCAGGGCAGGGGCAGAGAGGAGGGGAGAGAGAGAATCTCAGGCAGGCTCTGCCCTGTCAGCGGGACTCAATTCCCACAAACTGTGAGATTTTGACCGGAACCAAAATCAAGAGTTGGACGCTTAACTGAGCCACCCAGGTGGTCCAGCAGTTTAGGTATTCTGAACATCAGTTTCTGTATCAATAAGTCAGAATTAATCTACTGTTTGGCTTTCTCATTGGAAACATTGAGATTAATCATTGTTTGATCTGTAAAACCTGTTAGGTATAGACTTGGAGACAGTGTAATAATACTTGTTCTCGAAATGTTGAAAGAAGTACTGGTCAAGATTCTTAGGTTAATTTATTCCTTTCAATATATTTTATAATCAGGGCTGACCATAATTAGTCCTAATTCTATCTTGAGTGAAGTATGTTTCTGGTATGGGTATCTTTAATGAAAGGAAGAGGATGTTGTTTTTTTTTTTTTTTTTACTGATGGTAGATGAGTGCAGTATATTAGGAAATCCATAGATTTAATTATTGCTAAATGTCAGACCTTCTTTTTTGGGCCCAGGTTTCTAAGACCTAACTTGCTTGCCTCTCCTTTTGCTTAGCACTCCCTCCCAGTCTCCGGGTTTTCTTTCCCTAAGCTTGGCTATAGAATCAGATACTGTCTCATTTTTTCCTTGTCGTCCCTGAAAATAAGCTCATTGGGTAAATAATGAAAGAGATTGCAAAGGTTAAGTCCATAATTTTGATTCCTGACTAGATAAGATGACTGTGTGCTGCCTTTGAGTATCTTTATTCTGACTTTATTATCCTGGAAGCAAAGCATACTCATGCTCCTGAACTCGGTATGTGGTAAAAACATATCTCTTTCCATCCTTGAAGATGAAATCAAAGTAGAAAGAACCAGGTATCTCTTTATCTTAAATGAGGTGTGCATTTGGACAGTCTGTCTGCATTTATCAATTCTCTTGGGATTTTTTTTTACAGGAATAGTACCATTTGGGTGTTTTCTCACAGTGGAATGTTGAGGAAAAGACTATTTCTCTTTCTTACCAGTTGCAACAAAAATGTATCCTGGAAGCAAAATACTATTGCCTATGGCATTAGTTCAGACCACACTGTAAATTTTAGACCCTTTGGCTGAAGGCTTGTGGTTTACAGATTGGTCATACTTCTTCCATTCCTTCTTTTATTGAATCAATTGAAAACCAGCAGTGTGCCAGCCATTATGCTAGATACTAGGAGTTAGCGTTTGAGGCAAATGTAGTCTCTGCCTATCACTCTGCTTACTATATAATTCAAGGAAACAATTGATAAGCTTATTGTTACCATTTCTCTTCTATACTGTGGTCAACATCCTTTCTACTTTGAGGTTGGAGCATCTCTCATCTTTTATCTTTTTTCTTCACTCCTAAGCCTTGCCATCCTGGATGTCTTCACTCTCCTTGTATTAAGTAAGTAATCCATGGCCTAGCTTTCCAATTCCTTGATCTCAACTCTGTCAGCTTTTACATCCATTCTGCTTTACCAACCTCCATGGCTGTATTCCCCACCTCTGAAGTATTGGGTTATAATACCAACAATAACTTTGTTGCTTCTTTATTCCCACAATACCTGGTCTTTGACCCTAAATCTTTTAGTCCTTTGGCCTTTTTGGTTTTTTCCTAAGTTTTTAATCCCCTTCTTATTTCACTTTATTTTGAATCCAGCCTAATCAGCATAATCTGCCATTTCAGTCACTTGCTAGTCCCATTGACCTTATGTTTAGGAAAGTCCTAATCTTAATCAATTTAGTTGTTAATGCTCCTTTATTCCTGTATTTCAGCTGCTGGAACATTGCTGGCAGAAGCCACACAAACTTGTAGATTGCTGCTGGAACAAATTCATAGTCCCCAACCTGTTTGGACTCTCAGTTACTCATCAACTGTTTTTTTTCATGTCCTTAGATAACTCATTCCATTCTCTACAACTTTGCTATTAGTCTCTCTTTCCTCTTTTAATAGACTGCTTCTCTTCCTATTTGAGGCTGGCACATGTCATTACCTTCCACTTCCTGTTCTGATCCCTACCCCTAATACTATATTAATCTGCATTTTCACCTGTCTTTATTTCCTTCTTTCCAGTGCTAGTGGGAGATGTATTCTTCCTCCTTTCCAAGGCTAAGCCCTTTCTTTATGTTTTGGATCTCATCCCTGTCTGCCTATATGGGGTCTTTGTCACTTCTTTCTCTCTTTCCATCCTCTCTCCTAACTTCTTTCTTTGTTTAAATATATTTATCTCTTTGCCATATTTAGTAAAACAAATCCTTCCTTCGTACAGTCTCCCTATAGCTTCCACTCTCTTTGCCTTTCATAGTTGAGTTTCTTGAGAAGTCATGTTTTATTGCTTTTTTTTAAAACTCAATATATTTTGACTTAATGACTCTATGGTTTCATGAAAGTCTTGTCCCCTATGTCACCACCAGTCTCCTAATGGCTGAATCCGGTGGTCTTTATTCATCTTTAATGTAGCTCTCTGTTGTATTGAAGCTATTGAACACACCATTTTGAAACTGTTTCCTTGACTTCTGTGATTCTACTTTATTAATTTTTCATCTTATCTCTTAGTCTTTTGCTTTCAGACTTTCTCAGAATTTCTTACTTAAAAAATTCAAACTGGGATGCCTGAGTGGCTCAGTTGGTTAAGCATCCGACTCTTGGTTTTGGCTCAGGTCATGATCTCACGGTTCATGAGTTCGAGCCTCTGTCAGTACGGAGCCTGTTTGCGGGATTCTCCCTCTCTGCCTCCACCCCACCCCTCATGTCTCTCTTGCTATCAAAATAAATAAATTTAAAAAAAAAACCCTCAAACCTCCTGAGGTTTAAAAACTAATGTATCTTTAAAATTTTTCAAACTTTCCAAAGAGTTGCAAGAATAGTACAGTGAACAGCAATTAAGTTTGCCATGTTCTCTTTGTCTACCCCTACTTTCTTCATCCCTTCCATGTATATGTATATTTATGTAAATTCAAAATTTTTATTTTTTTGCTGTAAATTTGAAAGTTAATTCTAGCTATCATGGTGTTTCACTCTTTCTTTAATTTCTATTTTTTAAGTATATTTATTTTGAGAGTGAGAGAAAGTGGGGGAGGGGCAGAGAGAATCCCAACCAGGCTTCATGCTGTCAGCCCAATGTGGGACTCTATCTCATGAACTGTGGGACCTGAGCCAGAATTAAGCGTCAGACGCTTAACTGGCTAAGCCACCCAGGAGCTTCTATATCTCTTAAAAAATAAGGGCATTTTCATATGTAAGAGCTTGGGTCAGTTGTTTTGCACAGTATCCCTTAATTTGGATATATTTCATTGTTTACTTATGAAAACACATACATTTTAAATTTAGGTTAAGTACTTTTTGCAGGAGTATTATGTCCTTGGTGCATGGGCTCAGGAAGTACTATATGTTGTTCTATCCTGTTTATGGTAAAATTGAGTTTGATCACTTGGTTAAGGTAGTGTCTGACAGACTTTCCATAGTGCAGGTACCCTTTTCCCTTTGAAATTATTTATTAAAAAAAAAATTTTAATGTTTATTTACTTTTGAAAGCAAAGAGAGACAGAGCACGGTAGGGGAAGGGCAGAGAGAAAGGGAGACACAGAATCCAAAGCAGGCTCCAGACTCTAAACTGTCAGTACTGAGCCTGACACAGGGCTTGAACCCATGAACCATAAAATCATGACCTGAGCTGAAGTCGGACACTAAACTGACTGAGCCACCCAGGCACCCCTAAATTAATAAGCATCTATGGTGTACTATTGAGGGATATGAATAGTCTATGCTAATAATTTTTTTAAAGTAATCCCTGTGCCCAACATGGGACTCGAACTCATGACCAGGAGTTGCATGCTCCACTGACCGAGCCAGCCAGGCACACCTATCCTAATAATCTTTTACCCAGTAGTTTTATCATCCTTTGTTTCTTACCCAAATCAGATATTACTAGTGTGATTATAGAATGGAGACTTTTCTATTTTTATCATTTTGTTTCTGTATTAGTTGTCATTCTTCTATAAAAAAGTTTTTCATACTTCCTTTTTTAAATTTAATTTTAAGAGTCAATATATACTTTTTGTTTTTAGTGTGTTATCCATTTCATTATTCATTTTGGTTCTCAAATTGTCTCAAATTTTGCTAGAGAGCTATTAAGATGGCTTTTATGTTCTTTAGATGTATTTTGTCAGTTTTTTAGTACTTCCTGGTATAATAGAGTGCTCCAGATTTACCTTGCACTTTCCCTGACCCTGGCTTAGAACGATCTTTTTCTCTAAGGAACTCTGGTTTCTTTTGGTGGAGAAACCAATATCTGGGTGTCAGCTATGCTCCTTACAACTAAGGTGTCATTGTTTCTGGCTCTTTCAGTGGATACAGCAAAGAAGTTTTGTTTTGTTTTTAAATCATGGCTTCAAATTGATATCCCTAATTCCAGTCCAGTTCCATAGGGCTTTTCTTCTCTCAATCCATATTTGCATTTCTGTTTTTCCACAGTGAGAAGCCTGGTAGCAACATCAATAAATTTACTCATTTGCTCAGTTGTTCAATACATGCTTAATAGTTTGAGAAATATAATGCGGATACTACCAGCGGTTACAAACCTGCTAAGTGTGGTTTAAGATTTCTTTACAATTTTTGTTAGGCTTACATACGTCATTAAGATTGCAGTGTAAGGTTATTTAAATATCATTTTTCTCCTGTAATAAAATTGTCAGTATAATATTTAGTTATATTTTTGTATTTCTGTTGTGTTCAATTTTATTTTCCTCCCCCAACCTTGTTGATTTAATTTTACTTTTGGAATGTATTAAGCATTAACATGGTTCAGAATTCAAAAACCTCCATTTTATAATCACAGAAAAAAAAATGAATGCTAAACATTTGAGATTTTATCAGAAGATATACTGAGAAGTCTGATATCCTTTCTTACCTTTCTACTTGTCATTAGCATTTGGTTTATCGTAGTTGTGTTAATTATTAAAGATACAAGGAGATACATATATATATTCTTACATCCCCTTTCATACGCAAAAGGTAACATACTGTGATACTGCCATGCTATATATGCTCTTTTGCACCTTGTTTTTTCTTTTTTTCTTATTAAAAAAAATTTGTTTTTAATGTTTTATTTAGTTTGGAGAGAGAGAGCATGAGCAGGGGAGGGTCAGAGTGAGAGGGAGATACAGAATCTGAAACAGGCTCCAGGCTCTGAGCTGGCTGTCAGCACAGAGCCCGATGCGGGGCTTGAACCCACAAACTGTGAGATCATGACCTGAGCTGAAGTTGGATGCTTAACCAACTGAGCCACCCAGCTACCCCTGCACTTTGCTTTCATAGAGATATTCCCCATTCTTTTACACATTGGGTAGTCAGTATTCTGTGCATGGGCATTTACGTTGTTTCCAACTTTCCACTTTGCAACTGATAACCTGTGTATATGCTTTTTCATGTTACATATACCAGAACTTAGTCCTATAATTTAGACAGACTTAACATGTCTAAAACAATACATCATTTTTCCCAAAACTTTTTTCTTGACTTCTATTCCCTGTTATTGAATGATAACCATTATCTATCCTATGACTTATGCAGAAATCATATCATTATTTCTTTTCATACCTAGTCAGCAAGTGCTGATGATGCATCTTTATCTTTTTCCACCAACTTTATTTTCTTAGTTACAGTAAGACTCTACCTAAGGTCTTACTTTGCTTAGTTTACTGTACTTGTCTCCTAATTGGTCTTATTTCTTCCCTAAAACTCCACACTGCTACTAAAACTGTCTTAAAGCTAAGGGTTGTTCATCTCCCTAAACTTAATATTTCTCTTGTGCCTCTAAGATTCAAATACTTTTGCCTGGATGCCTAGGTCTTATATTTCCTGGTCTCCACCTACATCTCCAGCCTAATCTCTAGCCACTTCTTACCATACTGAACTACTTCTGTTAGACATGTCCTGTCAAGCCTCTTTTGCACCGGAAATGTCTTTTTTTATGCTCTACATTTCATTTTAACTATTTTTCATGATACACCTTAGGTATTGCCACCTCCAGAAACACTTCTTGCCAGGTCAGGTGCAGTTCTCCGTTCTTCTGTAGTATCTTGTGCTTACCTACATTGACTTCTCTCTCTTCCCTGGGACTCCAGACACCTGTAGGCTGGAGACTTCTATTAGTTCTGCTTTCTTATTCCAGAGCCTAGAGTATAGTAGACATTCAACAGTTAGTGAATATATGAATAAACTTGATCTGTTTTCATTTTTTTAAAAAGTATCTTTAGGTTTTCATTTACATGTTCACCACAAAGAGTCTAGACAGTGCAGATGTTTATGAGAAGTGAATGGCTTCCATTATTCCTATCTTTGTCTTTAGTGGGAACTATGATTAATAGTTTAATATTGGCAAGAAAAGCACAAAATAGATTTTCCAGATACTATAGAATAAAAATGTCTACTGTTATGTTCTTATAGATCATCTCTTTTCCTTTAGGCAATGATAGTAAGAAATGCTAAAGATACAGCTCATACAAAAGCAGAACGGAATATTCTGGAGGAAGTAAAGCATCCCTTCATTGTGGATTTAATTTATGCCTTTCAGACCGGTGGAAAACTCTACCTCATCCTTGAGTATCTCAGCGGTCAGTACACTCAGTTTGGTGTAATTATTTGCATTTGCTCCAGAAACTGGGTCAAAATTATTTTCCAGTGGAAAAATGCTTTTCCCCAATGTGATTAAATATTCTTAAAATTGACAAGTACATTGACATAGGAATTCAGATGTGACTGAATGTTTCTTTTTGCAGAAAAATATGAAGGAAACTTTAAAGGTTAAATTTTTTTTCCCATCTGTAAAATTTTATCTTTTTTTTTTTAAATGGTTTTATTTAATTCTGAGAGAGAGAGAGAGACAGCGTGAGCAGGGGAGGGTCAGAGAGAGAGGGAGATACAGAATCTAAAACAGGCTCCAGGCTCAGATCTAGCTGTCAGCACAGAGCCCGACGCGGGGCTCAAACCCATGAACCATGAGATCATGACCTGAGCCAAAGTTGGATGCTTAACCGACAGAGCCACCCAGACGCCCCTGTAAAATTTTGTTTTAATTCTTATCCCTTTGTAACCAATTACATAAAATAAAAACACCTAATTGATAGAGAACCATCACATTGACTACGCTTGGGTAAGAAACTATAATTTACATGAATCATCAAAGCATTTTTTCTAAATTGAAGTGGAAAACTTATTGAGAGTATTGTTTAAGATACTGAATATTTTTGGAATTGCATCTCTAAAGAGAAGAATTTTTTGGTTTAATGTAGCTTTTTTGATAGACTATGCAGTTTACATTGGAAAACATCCAGTTTCTAGGGTTTATCGCCTCCTAGAAACTTGTTGCTTCCTTATCATTTCTAGGTCACAAGTATCTATTTCCTGCAAACACATGTGAGTTTTCTGAATAACAAATTTCACAATAGTCTGTAACATGGAACAGAAAGCTGCAGAATTTAGTTAACTTTTATGTGACAGTTGCCATTTTTTTCATTTTTTGGTAACTTTATTTTGACATAATTTCAGATTTACACAGAAGAGTTGCAGAAATAGTACAAAGACTTCTCACACTCTTCACCTCGATTCCCCAAGTGTTATCATTTTACCAGTTTTGTTTCATCCTTTTTCTCTCCCTCTTTATGTGTATGTATATGCATGTGTGCGTGTGTGTGTATATATATGTATGTGTGTATGTGTATATACATCTCTACACATGTATATGTATATACATCTATACACACACACACGTATGTGTATATACATTTTTTTTCTGGACTGCTCAAGAGAGTTGCAGACATGATTTTCCATTGCCTCTAAATACTTCAGTGTATATTTTCTGAAATCAATGACAGTATCTTACTTAACTCTGTTAAAAGGTTCAAAAATAGGAAATTAACATTGATATAGTAATATCTCTCAGTTTCCTTTAATCTGGAACAGTTCTTCATTCTTTCTTTGTCTTTCTTGACCTTAGCATTTTTGAAGAGTATAGGACAGTAATTTTGTAGAACACATCAATTTGGGCTTATCTGATGTTTCCTCAAGATTAGATTCAGGTCATGCATTTTTGGGAGGACCATCGAAGTGACACTGTCCTTCTCTGTTAGATCAGGAGGTACATGATATTTATATCTTTGTCCCATTACTGTTGATGTTAACTTTCATCACGTATAAGGTGATGTCTGCCAGTTTTTTCCCCTGGTGAAGTTTTCCCTTTGTGATGAATAAGTATCTTGAGATACTTCTGGATTATTTAAATATCTGTCTCTCATCAAACTTTTACATACAGTTTTAGCATTCATTGATTCTTGCTTGAAACACTTAACTGTGATGATTGCCAACTGATTTTTCTTATTCCATCATGCCTCATTCATTTATTATTTAGCATTTTACTGTAATGAAGAACTTTCCCTTCTCTCCCTTTTAAGAAATATATTGATCTCTTCATTGATTTACATCATTGCGGACCTGTGGATTCTAAGATTACTCAGTGGGATATAATTCTTTATTATCATTACTTACTTTAATATTCACAATAGTGCCATGCTTTTAACAAAGCTGCTGCCAGGTTTCTTTAGATTAAGAGTTCCAAAAATATGGAATAAGGGCATTTGTTAATTTTAATTTGTAAAGGTGGCTCAATTATATACTAACATTTTTCTGCTTAGGGTAAGCTGTTAGAGAAACTTTAACCAAGAGTTTTATAACCTCAGGTCTGGAATCTATAACTATCTTGAAGTTTTTATATGTAAAACCTGGAATTCCAAAACCTACATATTTTACATAAGAATAAGAACTCTGCTAAAAATAGAATCCTGAAGACTTAGTTTTAAATCTATAGTTTTTAGGATTCTTTTTTTATTTTTAAGGAGCTGATGTCTTTAAATTATGGTTAAAAGGGAAGCCCAGCCCTCTTGTTAGAAATGGGTTGGAAATGAAGATTGTTTTATTTCTAATGTCTTTTCCTTTTCTTTACAGGAGGAGAATTATTTATGCAGTTAGAAAGAGAAGGAATATTTATGGAAGACACAGCCTGGTAAGTGAAATTTTTGTGGTTGCATGGATTCAGGTAATGATTCACATAATTAAAAGCAAAGCCCTATTCCCACTGTGGGCAGCCAAATGATTCAATAAATTGTTCTGGAGCCAGTCAGTCACACAGGACTTCAAGGGGGAGAAGCATCTATGGGACGGGGCAGCTTTTGGAGGTCACATCATTCCTTTGCCCCCAGGCCTTGGGTGGAACGCTCTTCACGCCAGTTCCTAACAGAACCATTCTCACTGGGGCTTTCTTTCCTTGAATTGGTAAGCTGCCTGCCTTGGCTGTGGGTGAGTGTGGTTTTCCGGTGAAACTTTATGTGTGGAACAATGGAAAGTATCAGAAATCATCTCCTCTTTTTTTTTAGACTTTCCAGTTCCCAAGGTGCAGTCTTAGGGAGGTGATAAACCGGCACACATCATCTGTGGATTGATTCTATGGCCAGGATGGGATCTACCCTTATATTTCTTAAGATGGCATCTGCTTCAAATTAAAAATATACACATCCTTTTGTGAGAGGACAGTATTGGGTAACAATAAATCAGTTTATCCTACACATTAATTGAATAGAAAACACTTAAATGTTTTTTTTTACCTTAATTACCAAACTGCATTCCATTGTTTAATTTCAGGCCTTTTCTAACACAGAAGCTGCATTTAAGAGCCTTAGGGATGAAGTGCCCTTTTTTGGAGGAGGCTCTCTGAGCCATGTTGGAGGCTGTGTTTGTGGTCCTGCTGGCTGTGAAACTGCCTCAGTCCTCTAGGACACACCCTCTCCATCCTGGAGTAATCTGCAGGATTGCAACATTGTTATGCAGCCAGTATTGCAGTGCCTTGTGCTTTTCGAATCCAGACAGGGTTGACTCAGCCCTTTATTCTTTTGAGGTAGATAAATTTGAGTGTCACACAGTTTATAGTTGTGGGCTGGCTGGCAAGAGGGAGGGCAGATACTGTGGGCATGAACTGTATATAAATAGCAGCTGTTTTAAGGGATGAGTGGGCTTCTCAGGGTCAGGTTATTTATAAGGTATCTTTTGAAACTAAGATTTGATCTCTGAGAATAACAAGTTCCTATGTCCTGTGGGATTTTTAAATTGGGGGTGGGTGGGAGAAAATTGCTTTGATGTGAATGACTATTGGCCCAATTCCTACAACAGAACAAAACCAGTGACAGTTTGGCATATTCTGGACTTCTTTGCAATTTAGCAGTATGTTTTAATGATGAAATTAAACATTTTATAGTTTCACTAAATAAGTGAAACATAAATGTCATCATGCCTTTTGGCAGCCTCCTATGCCATCTCTTTCCCCCATCCCCACCCCCATCCCCACTAATTTGGTCTTTGGTGCATGTCTATTTCTTTCAAGGAATTTTGCTCCATACATAAACTGCTTTGAGTATATTACTCTTTTTAATTTTATAAAATCACTTTTGTTTCCAGCTTTTACTTGGCAGAAATCTCCATGGCTTTGGGGCATTTACATCAAAAGGGGATCATCTACAGAGACCTGAAGCCGGAGAATATCATGCTTAATCACCAAGGTGGAGATATACTGTAAACAGTTCTATAGTAAATAATCATCTTAAAATCCTCCCACACAGGTCATGGTCATTTTTCAAAGCCCCATAGTCATGTATCTATTATAATACATTCCTCCCTCAGAATTTATGGCATCATAATACTTGCTGAGTATTTAGGTATTTGTGATTGATGAGATTAAAGGGAGTTAAGGATAATTGGCCACTCAACTCTTTCAGTTTAATCCTTGCTCTTTATAGCTTGTAATTCTTTTGAAATCTTTCCATATAATGTGGTAAGCCAAAAGCCAAACTCTAATTTTGGCTTGTTCCTTAAATTGGAAGGTAAATCGTAACTCTTTAAGTTGAGTTTTCCTTAAGGATAAAAATACATAAATATTAGAAGCAATACTATTTATGATAAATTTTCATAATGCTGTAAAAAAAGAAAGGGTTAGAATTGAACAAAGATATTTGCTATAGCCTGGGAAAGAAAATGTTTACTATAGGCATCAGTTTATTCTTGCTGCTTGTAACAACAAACATAAAAACCAGAAAAGCTAATATTCTCTGCAGCAGTAGGTAGAGCAGACTGAGTCTTGATTACAACTGCATGCTGCTACAGACAGTTTGATTTATGCAAAAGTAATATGGGCTGTGTAGAATTTGCAGTTCAGTCAGCCAACGAGGCTGTTGGGGTGCCTGGTAACAACGGCTGATCCCCTGAGGTGTACAAAATGATACCCGAGGTAGTTAAGAGTTTCAGATTCTTGGACGGGAGATCGTGTGTGGACAACTGATGCTAGTATAAATCCGTTTCAAATTGTGATTTTTTTTTTCTTCCTTCTTTCTCTCTCCCTCTCTGTCTCTCTCTCTCTCTTTTTTTTTTTTTTTTTAGGAGAAATGCTGTACTTAACCAAGTATATCATGGGAATCTATGTATTTCCCTCCCTCCCACTTCTACTCCCATCCCCCCAAACCTGGATTCTGATTCTGAAGACAAAGGATAGAATAGGGAAGTGACTAGTTAACTTCTTTGATCCATAAACTTGAGTGTGTCAGGTGGTTCTGTGAAAATAATGTTCATATTTCTTCTGTATCAGAGTAAAGTACACATTTACATTTGAATCAGTAGGCCATTGCCTTTTCTCTTCTCTGAAACCGGGTCCCTGGGGTTGTGAACCACGAGATCTCTAATAACAGTTCAGTAAAGCTAAACTTGAACTGAAATGTTCTTTGTGTAAGGTAGTCAGTTTTTTACTTTCTGGGTAAGAGATGAAGGTCCCATGCCATGTAGCAATTTCATTTCTTTTTCTGAACTGGCAGTATTGGCAGAATAAGCTAACTTGTTACAGTGACTTTCTGAGACCATTTAAAAAACTCTCCACACAGTTCACTGTGGTAAAAGTTATATATTCGAAGTACAGTGTTAACACCTCTGTTTGAAAGGTACAGCATCTTTATTAGGGTTTGTATACTTAAGCCAGACTTTGAGGAATTTTTCCTAGTGCCTACTTTCTCAGGATGGTAGAGGATTCTAGGTATAGGTAAAGCTGGAGCCTTGGACAAGCTGTTTTAGTTTTTTCTCTTTTTTTCCTTTGCTAGGTAGATTATATCTTTGGCAAAAGATGACTGCGCTAGCCTCCTAGGGAGTTATCATCTCATTTTATGGATGACACCTTGCTAGTTCTTTGTATCTTCAAAAAAATATTTAAATGGAAGCATAGATTATTGTTTTGTATGATGCATTCAAACACTGCACATACTTAGAATTCTCACGATAATCATACTATGATCTTTCATTGTAGGTCATGTGAAACTAACAGACTTTGGACTATGCAAAGAATCTATTCATGATGGAACAGTCACACACACATTTTGTGGAACAATAGAATACATGTGAGCTGCATGTTGAAAGAAATATAACTGGTTTGGGGGTAATAGCTAACTTTTACCTGGCTTACGTAATAGTGTGCTATATTTTTTATAGCACCAATTGGTTCCATGTATTGTTTTTAAAATTCTAATTCAGATGATATGCAAATGGGTGAATATTTTAGGCGCATTATTTTTCTCATTGTAGGGCCCCTGAAATCTTGATGAGAAGTGGCCACAATCGTGCTGTGGATTGGTGGAGTTTGGGAGCATTAATGTATGACATGCTGACTGGAGCAGTAGGTGCACAGTTAAAAGCTGCATGTATTCTGGTCTGTGCTGAGTAGTTATAAATCATTATAGCAAGAGACCTTTTGTGTGCTTTCTAAAAGTGTTACTGATGGAGTTCTTTAAAAAAAAAAAAAATCATGCTAATAGTGCTTCATTAGTAGTACTTTAGCCCCCTCTACTTTTCAAAACATTTTTGTTCAAATGATCTGTCATGGCAGTCCTGTGAAATAGGTGTAATAGGTACTGCCCTTATTTTATAACTAGAGAAAGCAAAGCATATAATCACATGGCTCACCTATTACCACACAGAGTTAATAGTGGAAACCCAGTTTCTTCTGGGATGTTGCTGTTTCTTCTGTCCTATTGCTTAAAAACTACAGATCTTTAGCAGTCAGCCCAAATCACAGCATATATTTCTGATATCTATGCATAACTAATTCAGGAAATTGATAATTTTACTTTTTTTATATGCTGATTTTTCTCACTCTCTTCTACTCCTAGCCCCCATTCACTGGGGAGAATAGGAAGAAAACAATTGACAAAATCCTCAAATGTAAACTCAATTTGCCTCCCTACCTCACACAAGAAGCCAGAGATCTGCTTAAAAAGGTAGGGCACCAAACATTAAGCCTCAACTACTGGGATTTAAATAGATATAATTGAATATACATTTTGAATAAAGAATCATACACATATATTGAAAAAGAAAGCCTACAAGTTTTGCAGGTAAAGTACAAATTTGAAGATTTTCTTTCTTTTTATTCATAAACAGTATTTAGTAGTTATTAATAAACCATATTTTCTCAAAATAGATTAGCAATATAGACAAGAAAATTTTATAAATAAAAATAATCAATTTGACTAAGGTTCATCAATTTTTTCCCCCTCCCTAAAGCTGCTGAAAAGAAATGCTGCTTCTCGTCTTGGAGCTGGTCCTGGGGATGCTGGAGAAGTTCAAGTAGGGATTGACCTGTTTGGCGGTTTGAGGGGAAGATAGTGCTAATTTTACGTATTTGTGAAGCTTGTATGTAGTTGTTTAAAGTACAGCTTATTTTGTGATTGGTAACTTCAAATAGGCAGTTACTTTGTCAATCCAGTGAGGTCTGTTCCCCTTGACTTTTCTTTCCGCTCTTTTTTCTAGGCTCATCCATTCTTCAGGCATATTAACTGGGAAGAACTGCTGGCTCGGAAGGTGGAGCCCCCCTTTAAACCTCTGTTGGTGCGTACTCATGAAAGAATATAATTTGAAGGACCTCGTGCTTTTTTAGAAAAAGAAAATCTCAGAGCATTCAGAAACATTTTGTTTATATTAACAATTCAGTAATCTTTGGCTTATCCTCTCTTCAGACTCTTTATACTATTCAGTCTTTTCAAGGACCTACTACCAGGAGCAATTGATGACTATATTAACTTTTTCTTAATGTTTCTTTTTGAGAGAGAGAAAGAAAGTGTAAGCAGGGGAAGGGCAGAGATACAGGAAGACAGAATCCAAAGCAGGCTCCACACTGTCAATGTAAAGCCCGATGTGGTGCTCAAACCCACAAACTGTGAGGTCATGACCTGAGGCAAAGTTGGCCACTAAACCAACTGAGCCACCTAGGTGCTCCTATATTAACTATTTTTAAGTTGGTTGTTAAAGACAGTTAAAGAAGTAGTTGGAACTTTTTTGCTTTGTTTTGTTTTGTCTTGCTTAGTTCAACCCTATTTTATTTTTGTGGGGTAATTTTTTTTTCTTGAAAAATTTTTTAATGTTTTATTTATTTACTTATAAATGTTTATTTTGAGAGAGAGAAAGAATGTGAGCAGGGGAGGGGCAGAGAGAGAGGGCCAAGCAGGATCTGTGCTGTCAGCGCAGAGTACAGTGCAGGACTTGATCCCACAAACCAGGAGATCATGACTTGAGCCAAAATCAAGAGTCAGATGCTTAACCGACTGAGCCACCCAGGTGCCACAAAAGTTTTATTTATTTAAGTAATCTCTGCATCCCATATGGGCCTTGACCTTACAACCCTGAGATCCAAGAGTCTCATGCTCTTCGACTGAGCGAGCCAGGTGCCCCTATTTTATCTTTTATTTCTAATTGAAGTTTGGTTGACATATTATATAAGTTTCAGGTATACAGCATAGTGATATAACGTTTTTATGATATATACATAACAAAACAGTCATCAAGTTAAATGTGGTTACCTTCTGACTCAACCTTATTTTGAATTGAATTTTCTGGAAATTTTTTCTTCAGAATACAGCATGTGTGTGTATTAACTTGCTAGGGTTGTGCTATGACAAAGTACCACAAACTAGGTGGCTTAAAGCAGAAGTTTATTGTATTATAGCTCTGGAGATTTAGATGGCCAAGATTAAAATGTTGACAGGCTTGGTTTCTTCTGAAGGCTGTGAGAAACTTCTTTTTCACTCTGTGCCACTCTTAGAGCTTTTGGTGGTTTGCTAATAAAACAGTCTTTGGCAGTCCTTGGCTTGTAGGCACATCACCCGATCTCTGCCTTTATGTTTGCATTCTCCTTTTATGCAGATCTGTGTCCAGATTTTCCCTTTTTATTTCATACCGAATTAGGATCTTCCCTGTTCCAAATGATCTCATCTTAACTGATTACATCTTCATTGACTCTCATTCCAAACAAGGGTTCCATTCGAGGTACTGGGGTTTCAAACTTCAACATATGAGTGTTGAAGGGGACACAACTCAAGCCATTACAATATGTTTATGAGTAAATGAGTTAGTGTGTTCTTGTCTTTCTCTCACCTCAGAATGTGTGATAGTTTATTTTCTGTTTCTTGAGATGAAGGTGGAGGAAGAGGAGGATAATGATGATGATGGTAATTTGGTCCTGGAGTATAGAGTGACTTGCTTTAAAATTTTCACATATAGTTGTAAGGAGGATAATTAACCCTCATGTACCAATTGTCCAGTTTGTCAGGTCATTTTATTTAAACATAAATCTAACTGCTATGCTGTCAGCTTTTTAGTTGTGATGATAATTTCCCCAGTTTCTTTTGTTTTCTTTTGCCCCCTGTTTGTTTCAGTGATGATTCAATCATGGTCTATATACAGTTTGGTTATTTTATTTCTTAATTCTCTCTTCATCTGTAGATAATACCACCCTCTGAATTCCTCTCCTGAGGACTTACTGAAGAAACTGGGCCATTTGTCCTGTAGAGTTCCTCACATTTTGATTTTGCTGATTTTAACCCCATAGTGTCATTGACCATATTCATCTGTTCTCTGTATCTCCAAAGCCTCGTAGTTGGATTTAGATACTTAATCTGGTTCAGATTAAACTTTCAATGTTGTATATTTTGGTCAGGAGGCATAATATGTATTTGTTGGTTTGTTTGTTTTTTTTTTCTTTTTTTGGAATGTCAGTGGTCATTGATCATTGCCTACATCAGTGATTCTCAGCTAAGGTCAATTTGGCAAGGTTTGGAGACAAGTGATCACAACTTGAGGAGGAGATACTACTGGAATGCAGTGGACAGAGGCCAGAGATGCTCCTAAACTTCCTATGTTTCACAGGATAGGCCCCTACAGCAAGAGTTATCAACCCCAAAATGTCAGTAGTGCTGAGATTGAGAAACTCTGGCCTACTTTGAAGATTTCATTAAGGATTTGCAAAAGTCTTATTTTAATATTATTATTGATTCTTCATTACTGAATTTATCCATAAAGAGAAACTCTTACATTTCCTACAGGAGAGGCAAGATAAATGTTTGTTTCTTTCCCAGTTTTCAAAATAATAAATTAGTTCCTTAACATCTTCCCAAATTGATCAATGAGTTGTATAATTTTTTAAAAAGTATAATTATGAACTCATGCCTTTTAATATATTTGTATTTCAGTTCATAGCAGTAATCTTTAGTGATGCTCACCTTTTACTATCTTTGGACACTGGATGCTTCTTCATATTGGTTCCTTAGCTCATTCGACATGACCACAAAGTCTGTTGTACCAGAGAGAAGGAATTAAGGAAACATGTAGTTAGACTTAGGCGACGTTTTTCACAAGAAAATGTACTCATAGAGTGTTGTTATTGCTCCCTGAGAAGTCTACAGGGATGAAATAAGCTATGGGAAGAAACTTTAGAACATTTTACAAATGTGTTTTGTGTTAAATTTCTGCTTTAGTAGTTTCTTAGGTTTATTATAAACCTGCAGTGGCCAACTGAGCAAAATTATATGTAACAAGGAATTTAGCCAGTGGACTAGGCACACTGAAGCTTTGTAAGTGGGGAAGATTGACATTCAGATTTTTTTGGAGGGGGTGGAAATGTGAGAGAGTGCATGTGGGAGGAGCAGAGGAAGAGGGAAGGAGAATCCCAAGCATGTTCCATGCCCAACGCAGAGCCCAAAGTGAGGTTCCATCCCTCAACTGTGAGGTTATGACCTGAGCCAAAATCGAGAATCACATGCTTGGGGGTGCCTGGGTGGCTCAGTTGGTTAAGCGTCCAACTTCATCTCGGGTCATAATCTCACAGTTCATGAGTTCGAGCCCTGTGTTGGACTCTCTGCTATCGGCATGGAGCCCACTTCAGATCCTCTGTCCCTTTCTCTCTCTCCACGTCTCTCTCTCTCAGAAATAAATAAACACTTAAAGAACAAACATGCTTGGGGTGCCTGGGTAGCTCAGTTAGTTAAGTGTCCGACGTTTGATTTCAGCTCAGGTCATGATCTCATGCGAGCTGCATGATGCACACTGTCAGTGTGGAGCCTTGGAGCGCTCGCTCTCTCTCTCTCTCTCTCTCTCTCTCCCCCTCCCTCCCTCCCTCTCTCTCCCCCTCTCTCCCCCCCTCTCCCCCTCTCCCCCTCTCCCTCTCTGTGTCTCAAAATAAATAAGTAAACTTAAAAAAAAGAGTTGGACACAACTGACTGAGCCACCCAGATGACCTGACATTCAGACTTTTTTTTTTTTTTAATATTTTTATTTATTTCTAGGAGAGAGAGAGACCGTGAGCAGGGGAGGGTCAGAGAGAGAGGGAGTCACAGACTGAAATAGGCTCCAGGCTCTGAGCTGGCAGTCAGCACAGAGCCCGACGCGGGGCCCGAACCCACGAACTGCGAGTACATGACCTAAGCGAAAGTCGGACGCTTAACTGACTAAGCCACCCAGGCGCCCCTCAGACTTTTAATAAGAATGATAAGGGTGTTCTAAAATCTATTTTAATATATATCTAAAATTTGAAGATGTAGTTTGACCGTTGATACTTTCCACCTGTATTTATTCTTTAGTCTGTGCCTGCTGAGAGTACACTGATATTTTATTACAGTCAAATCCTGTGAAAAGAGTTCTATTTAGAATCTTCTGTAATGCAAGTGATGCATTTGATTGATATATGTAATATAGACATCATTTTCTAATCATTTTGTTTTTTCATAAAGCAATCTGAGGAGGATGTGAGTCAGTTTGATTCAAAGTTTACACGTCAGACACCTGTTGACAGCCCAGATGACTCAACTCTCAGTGAAAGTGCCAACCAAGTCTTTCTGGTAAGTGAAAGAATTTCATATTGCCATTAGAAATTTAAGTATTAGGATGGGCCCTTTTCAATAAGAAAATTCCATTTTCTTGCTTTGCAGTTCATGTAGATAAACTGAGATGTATTTTTTATTAAGTTTTCTAACTTGCTAAGTTAAAAAACTAATTCTCATAATCCAGTATTCCATTTTAGCAATTAGAGTAGGAGTGTATGATTCTTCATTGTATACATGAGCCAGACTTAAAATAATGTTTGGCTTAGCAAATCTCAATTGAAAGTCACACAGTTATAACAGTAGGAGAAGAAGAGCTCACTGTAATTAACTATTCTATTCCTGAAATAGTACAAAGTTTTGGTACTTTCAGTGTAACTTTGTAGAGGATTTTTAACCTGTTATAGTGAATAGTTGACATTAAATGAAATCGTAAAGAAATTGATCATCATTGTAGAAGTATCTATTGTTTTATACCTTGCTTAGGTAGAGAAAAGTTTTTAGATGTTTAGATTGTTTTTAAGATCTTTTAAGATTTTGATCAGAAACCTCATTTTATATCATTTTTTGGGTTACTTATCATTATCCTTTGTCATTTCTTTTTGGATTACATCTAGGGAGAATGGAATATGGAGAAAGTAAGCACTTGGAAGGGTTTTTGGTTTTTTTTTCCCCCTATTTATGAGTTCACTATGTTTATCACCAAGTTAATTCTCAATTTTTTTTAAAAATATTTTTATTTATTTTTTATTTATTTATTTTTTTTATTTCTAGGAGAGAGAGAGAGAGACAGCGTGAGCAGGGGAGGGTCAGAGAGAGAGGGAGTCACAGACTGAAACAGGCTCCAGGCTCTGAGCTGGCAGTCAGCACAGAGCCCGACGCGGGGCTCGAACCCACGAACCGCGAGATCATGACCTAAGCGAAAGTCGGACGCTCAACCGACTAAGCCACCCAGGCGCCCCTCAATTTTTTTTTAATACTCTTCACAGTGTAATACACAGTAGTGTTGTATCTTTGGGGTGGAGAGTAAGTTCTAAAGTTAGCATGGAATGCAAAAATTGTATACGGTCAAAATTACTCTTAAATCACCATAGTACAGTATGGCTTTGAGTAACTAGCATTGAATAGTAATATTATTATTGTATGATTGTATGGTGATATAAGAATAGAGTGGATGTGCAAAATATAGTTTTACAGTATTTTTAATTATATAAGGGATGAAATATGAATGCATGTTGTTAACTTTATATCTACATGATGCAAAGTCGTTGTATACTCCTTGGTAAAATATCTTGTGTTCAGTTAGTGAAGTAGACGGGATTCATTTTATTTTTCTTGTTAAAACTTTTTTTTTTAACATTTATTTTTGAGAGACAGAGACAGAACAGGAGTAGGGGAGGAGCAGATAGAGAGGGAGACACAGAATCCAAAGCAGGCTCCAAGCTCTCAATTGTCAGCACAGAGCCTGATGCGAGGCTCAAACTTGTGCACCATAAGATCATGACCTGAGCCACTCGAGGGCCCAGACGTGATTCTTTAAATTCTGGCATAGTTTTCTTTTTTCTCTTATGTGGAATTTTGTTTTCTGCTGATGTGCAGTTTATACCTTTGATATAACATAGAGATCTTTTCCTTATTGGGCATTCCAGAGTTTCAACTAGTTTGACATTTCCCCCCCATAAAAAACAGTCTAGAAATGTCTTATCTCACTACAAAGAAATCCAAAGTTGTGGTGGCAAAAGTTACATAACTAGGCTCTCATTGCCAGTTAAAGTATTGTTGAACTTTTCATAATTACTTAAATCACCCAACTAGTGAACACAAGAATAATTCATTTGTTAGGTTGTAGCCAGATTTCTGTACATAAAGTTTATCTTTTTAGAAATTAATAAAAAACAGTCACATCCAATTTACATGGGGAATGTGGTTATAGCAACTTCTGTTCAATAATTATTTAAATTTCTCTCACAGAATTAAAGGAAATTCAAAGATGATCAAGGTACAGCCTGGTCCTCTTGGTAGTTATGGCTTTAGTTCACTAGACTGTGTGGGGAAATGGCTTCTGAAGTCCATACCTGTCACAAAGTATATGCACTACAGGGGCGCCTGGGTGGCTCAGTCGGTTAAGCATCTGGCTTCAGCTCAGGTTATGATCTCACAGTTTGTGGGTTCGAGCCCCACATCGGGCTCTGTGCTGACGGCTCAGAGCCTGTTTCAGATTCTGTGTCTGCCCCTCCCTACTCATTCTCTGTCTCTCAAAACTGAATAAATGCTAAAAAAAAAATAAAAATAAAAAATAAAAAAAGTATATGCACTACAGAATTGTACCTCACTCTTTAGGACTTCCCCCAGGGCTTTGTTGCGTCGTTTTACTATAATTCATATGCCTATTTATAGGTGACTGGAAGAGTAAATAGAAGGGAAGGTAGATAGGTGGGGGCCTGATTGATGACGAGTTAAACATTGACAGCAAGAGGAAATGACAACTGGTGTCCTAATAGCAAGGTCTAAGAAAGAACTAAAGCTAGCAAAACTGTATAATTGCCTATAATATATAATTGAGGGGTTTTTAATCATGAAAATACCAAATCTATCCAGTCATTGGTTTAAAACCAGAATGATCACACAGGCCAAGTTAAAGAATTCTATGTTTACTTTGGCCTAATAATGAGAAACTAGGGGGTGATAATCTTAGTTGCTCATGTGCATGTGGCTAGAAACACTAGAATTTTCTTTGCATATATCGTTTTTAATATCTTAATGTAGAGCCTACAATTTCCTGTTTTGTTCTACTCCTTTCAGTAGAGTGGAGTATTGCTGGCATATGGGGCTCAATAAAATTCTGCTTTCTTGAGGTCTATGCCTCAAGAAATGGTTGGAAAGAAGCTAACAGGTATGAAATGAGGCTGGGGAGATGGGCATATACAGAGCGGTGATTTTAGGTGTTGTGTTGGTGTGTCAGAGACTGAAACCACATTTTCTTGATTTATGTGACCAAATGCCATTCTGCAGTCTACTTTTTTTGTCTTTCAGGGTTTTACATATGTTGCTCCATCTGTACTTGAAAGTGTGAAAGAAAAATTTTCCTTTGAACCAAAAATCCGATCACCTCGAAGATTTATTGGCAGCCCACGAACACCTGTCAGGTATTCAGACTTTGTTGTTCTCACTGTCTTTCTGTCCTTTTTTTTTTTTTTTTTTTTTACCTAGAAGAGCATCACTTAAATGTATGCCAAGTTACATAAATGAAAGAGCTGTCATACTCTTTGGTTGACATAAGCACAGCAACTCCATCATCTTATATTGAATGCCATATAGAGTACCTTCCCTCCTGTGAAAGAAAGTAAGCTGCTGCATTGGCAAATGTCTTCTTACCCATTCATTCAACATTTATTGTGTGCCAGGGGCTGTCCTACATGCTGGGGACCTGTGATTAACGTAGGAATTGTCCTTGTTCTGATGAAGCTTACAATTGAGTGAGAAGAGAGGCACAATAACTAAAGAAGGAAGTAAAAAAAATATGTAGCACAAGTAGTGTTCAAGTACTATATGAAGAAAAAGAGTGTGGCGGTAGAGAGCAGAGAATAACAGGGGAGCTCCTATTCATGGTGGTCAGGGGAAGGCCTCTCTGGTGAAGTAACATCTAAGAATGAAGAGAAAAAGCCATCCATACAAAAAATAGAAGTACAAGGGTGTTACAGGCACAGCAACAGCTCATGCAAAAGCCCCAAGGGAGGAAAAATCTTGGTCTTCGTAATGAAAGGGTGGTCAACATTCCTCACATGTGGTGAGTGACCAAGAAAGGTTTGGAGAAGTACTTTGTCTTAAATGCAGTGGGAAGCTGTTTTAAGTAGGGAAGTACAATGACTTAAAAAAAAAACAAAAGTATCACTATGGATTTTATAGAGGCAGATTTTATATAGTCTAGAGGAGCGATGGCTCAACTTAAGTGTTTTTACTAATTCACACAAAAATAAAATTAAATGAAAATAAGTGTCATATTATCCCATTCCCTTTAAATGTAAGGGAAATATTTCTTGTTGAGATAATCCTTGAGATAAATGAATGATAGCTCTTCCTTGTCTTAAAGCCCAGTCAAATTTTCTCCTGGGGATTTCTGGGGAAGAGGTGCTTCTGCCAGCACGGCAAATCCTCAGACGCCTGTGGAATATCCAATGGAAACAAGTGGAGTAGAGCAGATGGATGTGACGATGAGTGGGGAAGCTTCAGCACCACTTCCCATACGACAGCCGAACTCTGGGCCATACAAAAAACAAGCTTTTCCCATGATCTCCAAACGACCAGAGCACCTACGTATGAATCTATGACAGAGCAATGATTTTAAAGAATTTAAGGCAAAAAAAAAAAGGTGGGGAAGGGATGTATGAGCATCCTGTAAAGTGAATAAGAAGACTCAAAATGACAGTCTCGAAGAGTCAGTGTCATTACATTGAACACTTTGGACAGAGGAAAAATAAATATGGATTTTAAAAAATCAATCAATGGTGCAAAAAAAACAAAAACAAAACTTAAGCATAATAGTATTGTGGAACTCTTAGGCACATCAATTAATTGATTCCTAGCGACATCTTCTCAACCTTATCAAGGATTTTCATGTTGATGGCTCAAAACTGACAGTATTAAGGGTAGGATGTTGCTTCTGAATCACTGTTGAGTTCTGATTGTGTCGAAGAAGGATTATCCTTTCATTAGGCAAAGTATGAAATTGCCTGTAATACTTGCAACTAAGGACAAATTAGCATGCAAGCTTGTTCAAACTTTTTCCAGCAACATGGAATCAAAGACAAAAGAAACTTAACAGTTGATGTTTTACGTGCAAACAACCTGAATCTTTTTTTTATATAAATATATATTTTTCAAATAGATTTTTGATTCAGCTCATTATGGAAAACATCCCAACTTTAAAATGCAAAATTATTGGTTGGTGTGAAGAAAGCCAGACAACTTCTGTTTCCTCTCTTGGTGAAATAATAAAAATGCAAATGAATCATTGTTAACCACAGCTGTGGCTTGTTTGAGGGATTGGGGTGGACCTGGGGTTTATTTTCAGTAACCCAGCTGCAATACCTGTCTGTAATACTAGAAAAAAAAATCTATTTAATCATTTCTACTTGCAGTACTGCTATGTGCTAAGCTTAACTGGAAGCTTTGGAATGGGCATAATTTGTATGTCCTACATTGCATCCTTGTCCTGGGCCTGCACTGCACTGGAAAAATACCGCCACTTGTTCTTACACCAGTATTTGGTTCAAGACACCAAATATTTTCAGCCCATGGCTGAAAAGGATGGAAAAGAGTCAGGATAAAATGCATACTGAGGGCAGTAAAGTGAGGGAGAGAGGGAGATCCAGGGGAAGAGGGTGTTGTCATGTTCCACTCTCTGTGTCTAATCTCTTTACAGCAAATTGTTAAGATTTTAAGTTTTACTTTTAACTGTTTTTGCTGTCTACCTTCCTTAATTTTTTTCCTCAACAGTTTCAAAAGGAAAAAGAGTTTCTTTCTCCTATACTGGGGCTACATTTTTTGATTGTAAAAACATTTGATGGCCTTTTGATGAATGTCTTCCACAGTGAATAAGAAAACTTAGTGGCTTAATTTAGAAAACATGTGAACAAGACATTATGTTTTTGAAATTGTAACAAAATCTACATAAGTGATATACAGGTACAAAGAATAAAAATAAAGGTGACTTTACCTTTCTTAAATACTTCTGCCTTAAAGAGAGCATTTCCATGACTTTAGCTGGTGAAAGGGTTTAATATCTGCAGAGCTTTATAAAAATACATTTCAGTGCATACTGGCATAATAGATGATCATGCAGTTGAGTCTTATCACCTCTTTTTGTTTGTTTTTTATAATGTCTTCTGAGTGTGCAAAGTCAATTTGTAATATTTTGCAACCCTACAGTTTTTTTAAATAGATGCTGCTTGCTATGTTCTTCAAACCTATTTGAGCCATAGGATCCAAGCCATAAGATTCTTTATGCATGTTGAATTCAGTCAGAAAAGAGCAAAGCTTTGCGTATTTAAATGGCAATCCAAGTGAAATGAGATGAAATCCTATGACATTGAGCAAAATAGAACCATGAAAAGTAATTGGAAATATACCTTTTCAATTTTGGCAATAAATTAAGAAATTGGTGACAGTTCATCTTTGGACAGAAAACTTTTTTTTTTTAATCACTTCCTCTAGACCTCCTCCTCCCTTATTGCAGCAGCCTACTGAGAACTTTGTATCTGTAGCTAGTAATTTAAAAGCTACATTAAATGATAAGGGCAGAAATTATAGTTTAAGGTGCAGAGCTTTGTTCTCTGACAGTTGATGTCTGAAAAAACAGAACCCAAAAACTATGGTGGAAAGTGTAGACTTTTATTTCAGACTGTAAATGGCTTGTGCTACTCTGATACTTGTTTTCAAATATGTTTACTAACTGTAGTGTTGACTGCCTAACCAAATTCCAGTGAAATTTTTACACCAAAATATTCCTCCTCAGACCTATTTGCTAGTAACATTTGCACTGTGATTGGCTGGCTATATAACCACCCCATAGTTAAACTATTTTCATAATTAGTACTGCCAGCATAGTGGCACACACTGCAGATTTTCTGCATTAAATGCATTAATTACATATCTACCATCCATACAAATAGTTTTCAGACTTAACATTGAAATTAATTTTCTATGCTGAGGCAAGTTTATTGAAAAATTGTGTTTCATAAATGGATATCCCTACTCTGACTGTGAAAAATGTCAAGTGCCACTTTTAGTGTCACAGACAGAAAGCACACACCTATGCAATATGGCTTACCCTATATTTATTTGTAAAAATCCAAGCATAATTCAAAATGTATGATGTCAATATTACTAGTCTTAAGTTTCTAAGAGGGTTCTTTATGATTATTCCAGGTAAGTGTATAAAAGAGATTAAGTGCTTTCCTTTCATCACTTGATTATTTTCTTTAAAATCAGCTATTACAGGATATTTTTTTACTTTATACATGTTTTTTAATTAAAATATAATCACTGAGAACTGAACTTTACTAATTTTGATTTTATAAGGTTTGTAGCATTACAGAATAAACTGGGATTTATAAACCAGCTGTGATTAACAATGTAAAGAATTATTGAACCTGAACCAGATATTTTGGGAAATTATGTTATTTCTTTTTCCCCTTTATGGTCTCACGTAATTTGAATCATTCAAGTAGATTTTTTTCCATACTATTTTTTGAGATAGAAGATAATTGGGGGGAGGGGGGGAGTTAAGAATGCATGTATGATACTCCATAAATTCAACATTCTTTAATAAATGATTATAAGCAATACACATCTTCGATAGTATCAATATACTGAGCCTTCAATTTTATTTTAGTTTATAAAAAGATTTTTTTAATATTTATTTTTGAGAGAGAGAGACAAAGTGTGAGTAGGGCAGGGGCAGAGAGAGAGGGAGACCCAGAATCTGAAGCGGGCTCCAAGCTCTGAGCTGTCAGCACAGGGCCCAACGCAGGGCTTGAACTCACAAACTGTGAGATCATCACCTGAGCGGAAGTTGGACGCTTAACCAACAAGGCCACCCAAGCGCCCTGAGCCTTTGATTTTATATTTAATGTAGGACCTATTTTGGTTACTCAGTCATGTGGTTCCTAGTCTATAAGGGTTAGAGCTAAGATTATTCCCATGAGAAATGTTGAATTTATGAAAAATGGATTTTGAGGCTTTGAAAATGGTTAAGTTCTCAAAAACATAAGTCAGTATCCAAGCATCTACCATTTTTCATAGGAGTAGACAGTAGCAAGCTGGACAAAACAATCATAAAAGTATTTGTCACACCATGACCTGTGGTCTGTTACTGGTTGATATAAAACTTTTTTTGTGTGATTCTTAATTTATCACTATAGCACAAGTGTTTTCTCCGTGGATTATTTGAAGTTACATCTGAAAAATGGGTTCATCTGTGTTTGTTCTTTAAACTATTATTTTATTCCTATCCCAAGTTGGCTTTGCATCTATCAGAGTAAATAAATTCTTCAGCTGCCTTATTAGGAGTGCTATGAGGGTAACACATTTTTCTGCTTTTCATCTTGTATTTAGTTTACTGTATTAAATATTTGATTTCGGATTGAATGAATGTAAATAGAAATTAAATGCAAATTTGAATGAACATAAAATAGAAGTGATTTTTTTTTATTCTAAGATAGGAAGAAATAACTATCAGGTGAACAAATGGTTTCAGTAATTATTTTCATTAACATACCAGATATGTTCAGGTTCTCATTATTTAGTAAACTACTTATACAGGTGAAGAATAACAGTTGTAAAACTTTCAGCTGAGAAATTGAAGCTACTTAAATATATAACAAGTTTTAGTACTAATATATATTAAATGTTACACACATGTAATTTCCAAGTTCTGTCCAGTAGTTGAATTGGTTGCTTAAAAAAAAAATAAGCTCATGTGAAAAATTATGTGAAAACTAGCTTCATTACAGATACACTAGGAACACATTCTTGTCCTAACAAGTTTGCTCAGCCACACTTGCTTAAGTACATTTGATTATTGGATGTGTTATGTGCTACATAATGTCATGCCCCAATCTGTTCTTAACTAATGTCTCAACCTATCTAGTGTAAGATGGGTGTTTTGTATAAGCCACTTATTTGAGGGAATTCTATCACACTTGGATGATTTCTCTATAGAAGTTCTCAAACTGACTTTTTATTAAACATAGTTGTAGCTTTTTCTTTTTTTTAGTTTATTTTTTTGAGAGAATGTGAACAGGAGAGGGGGAGAGAGAGAGAGACTCTCAGTCAGTGCCACAGTGCCTGACCCGGGGCTCGAACTCACAAATGGTGAAATCATGACCTGAGCCAAAACCAAGAGTTGGACTGAACCACCCAGGTGCCCCAGAATTGCAGCTCTTAATACTTAATAAAACAATCTTTAAGAGGGTGTAATCAGAGTTCACAGAAAAAGTAAGTGGGTTTATGAGTCCCTATTCCCAATTTTGAGGTGAAAGAATTTAAATAGAGAAATGCTTCCAATTCATCAGTGCTGTTGGTAGATGGCATAGCTCTCCTATTACATCCCCCCTTTCTAAATTCGTATGTGAACTGCTTTCTTATTTTAATTTATTTTTTATTTTTCTTATTTTTAATTTAAAAAATTTTGCTTTTTTTTTTTTTTTAAATGTTTTTTTTTTATTTATTTCTACGAGAGAGAGAGAGACAGCGTGAGCAGGGGAGGGTCAGAGAGAGAGGGAGTCACAGACTGAAACAGGCTCCAGGCTTTGAGCTGGCAGTCAGCACAGAGCCCGACGCGGGGCTCGAACCCACGAACCGCGAGATCGTGACCTAAGCGAAAGTCGGACGCTTAACCGACTAAGCCACCTAGGCGCCCCAAATTTTGCTTTTTTAAAAGCAAAAACCCAGCTGTCTATCATGGACCTCCTTTTTATTAAATCATATTAAAAAAAGCTATCCATATAGCCACAGAGTAAGAAGAGTAGGTATTTTTTTTTTAAATGTTTATTTATTTATTTCTAGGAGAGAGAGAGAGAGACAGCGTGAGCAGGGGAGGGTCAGAGAGAGAGGGAGTCACAGACTGAAACAGGCTCCAGGCTCCGAGCTGGCAGTCAGCACAGAGCCCGACGCGGGGCTCGAACCCACGAACCGCGAGATCGTGACCTAAGCGAAAGTCGGACGCTTAACCGACTAAGCCACCTAGGCGCCCCAAATTTTGCTTTTTTAAAAGCAAAAACCCAGCTGTCTATCATGGACCTCCTTTTTATTAAATCATATTAAAAAAAGCTATCCATATAGCCACAGAGTAAGAAGAGTAGGTATTTTTTTTTTAAATGTTTTTTTATTTATTTCTAGGAGAGAGAGAGAGAGAGAGACAGCGTGAGCAGGGGAGGGTCAGAGAGAGAGGGAGTCACAGACTCTGAAACAGGCTCCAGGCTCTGAGCTGGCAGTCAGCACAGAACCCGACGCAGGG